AGGAACTTCCTGACAGTGAGAGCTGTTCGACAGTGGAACACACTGCCTTGTAGTTTGGTGGAGTCTCCTTCCTTGGAGGTCTTTAAACAGAGGCTGGATGGCCATCTGTCGGGGATGCTTTGATTTTGAGTTCCTGCATGGCAGGGGATTGGACTGGATGGCCCTTGTGGTCTCTTCCAACTCTATGATTCCATGATTCTAGGATAGGATCACTGCTAAGCCCCCTTATGCCATCAGTGTATTGCAAACTGATTTGCATAAAGCTGCACAAGCTGTGCACAAACAACCTTGATGAAAGTTTTCTGCCCCCCTCTCCAATTCCACAAGAATGCACAGTTTTCAAGTACTATTTGTACTTTGGGACATGATTCGGGAAGATTCATTTCCACAAAAATACAAGTGTTTTTTTTTCTTTTTTCTTTTGTAGACACATGCTTTGGGCCAGAAGATATGTACATTGCACAAAAAAGCAGTATTTTTGCACAGAAGACAGCACAGACAGCATCAACTCAAAATACATTGATTCTTGCACAAAAATAGATAAATAAAACGGCATTTTTGTGCAAAGAACAGGTTTTTCTGCCCAAAAACATGTTTTAGGCACAGAAAGAACAAAGTTGTTTTTGCACAACTTGTGCAGATTTATGAAAATCAGTTTGCATAAATACACTGGTTTGTACACAGGGAAAAAGTTTTGGTGCAAGAAACATTATTTTCTGAGTAAAAAGCAGTGTTTTTGTACCAGAATCATTCTGTTTGTACTAAGTTTGTTGCCTCAGTTTTATTGTGAGCTACCGTGAGTCACATTTTTGGGAAGAGTGGTCAAGCATAAAGCCAAATACTGCTGCTGCCACTTGCAACTGTACTGTGCCCATCCACCTGGGACCACAAGGTTGCTCTGCCTGCCACTGTGCTGAACCACTTCTCCCATCTCTCAGTCCTATGCACGCAATCTCCCCATTCCCTGCAGCATGCCTACACATTCTTGGATTCTTTCTCTCTTCTCCCTCTCCTTTTTCAAACCTTCTTCTGTGACCTTTTAGTGCACTCCTTTACCTCTTTGAACCTTTCTTTCCTTTTTCCATCTTACACAGTAAAGCTCCTTATAGTCTGGATCCTGTCTAATATATAGCTTTCTGCTGTGAAGGAGGAGGTCTGTTGAAGATCTCTTGATGTTAGCTTTTAACAAGAAATGTGAATACACGGTACAAAGTTTTCAGTAATTGTGAGAAATATTTAAATAAAACATTTCTCTGAGTTGATAGGACATGACTTCAACCATAATTAGAAATGCCCAGCTGGGTTGTTGTTTTTTGAGTAAAGGAAGAGGACGCAGTGATTAGCATGCTTCTTCATTTTTAAAAGATGTGATTTATTTTCCATCGATTTACCCTCATTCATATCTACTAATATAAATGCAGCTGTTAAAAAGGAAAATTCTTAATTCAGTCTCATCAAAAATGTATTTCTAGAAATTTGGCATGAAAATCCCCCTCTTCAGTTAATATAAATTGCTTGCAGCCACCAAGAATCTGCTGGTAACTTACTTGCATGTTTCTGACCTTGAATGACCTCAGCTGCTGCTCTTTTATCCCCAGAGATGTTTTGGATTCTTGAAAGTTTTTCTAGATATCTCCAGCAAAGCAAAATAAATGCACAGCTATTTTTGCATATATTTAGCATTTTTAAAATTAACCAGAGAATTCCACAAGATAGAAACATGTGCATATTGGAAACAGAAAGACATAAAGAGATAATGCAGAAGAAACCACCATTGTCATCATCATTCTTAATCATATTAACATAGTCTAATTCAAAAGCAAAGTTTCGAAAGTTATTTTTAAAAGTAAATTATTATGTAGCTTGTTACAAAATCACAACACCTATTCATTCTGTCATTCAAAGGCTTTAATTTATTTGCCCTTGCTTTTCCTGCAACAGCTTGTTACACTGGTGTTTTAAACACATACTCTCTCTCACACACACACAATGTAAAAGTAGCAAGCAATATATTTTCTAAAAAGCAATATTAAAAAAGCAGTCTACTTTTAAAAAAGCAATCTGTTATCTGTTTAAATAATATAAAATGTCCTAAAACTTTAAAAAATAATCTTAAAATAATCCAAGAAAGCATTTCTTGTCCCTCAAAAAGCAGTGGGGAAATGTGCTAATTTTTGTCTCCACAAAAAAGTAATAGGAAAAGGTACTTAACTTACTAGTCATTATTTTTATGAAGAAGGAACCACTTACTTAAAGTAACATGTCATAGGTAACCTCATTATTGGCAAAGTGTTACAGTCGCCCCTCCCAATTCATGGGGGATCCATTCCAGGGGGCCCTGCGAACTGGGAAAACCACCAGTATTGGAGCCCCATTGATTTCAATGGGGGTGCACTCCTGTACGCAGCTAGGCATGCACACCATTTTGTCCCTCACGGCTTGCAGTCCGCGAAGGAGCAAGGGCCGCAAACGGCAAGACTGTGAACGGCAACGGACAAGTGTACTTCCAATCTTTGTTTCAAAATTATGTTCACCTCACACAAAAATACAAATATAGAAAATATATCAAGTATTTATGATGTCCACATCCAACTGAAACTAAC